TTCCCTCGAAATCATGTGTAGGATGAGATGCAGCATATCAGATGCAGACTCTGAGGGACCAGAGAACAAGTCAGAAAAATATGAGATTGCCTCACTTGCTATGTTAGCCTCCGCATCCACCCAAACACCACTGGACTTCTTTATTCGATATATCATTCTCTGGGCCCGTCGCTGCCTTACCACCGTATGAAAGTACCTTGAATTGCAGTTCCCATGTTGAAGCCACTTTACTCGAGTCTTTTGACTCCAAAACTTCTCTTCAATAGACAGCGCATAACGTAGCTCCACTTGAGTCTTCCTGAGCTCAATTTGGCCCTCCTCCAAATCACCTTGATCTGTGGCCTCATCTGCCCTTTGCACCGTAGCCTCCGCCTTACGAATGGCATCGAACACATTACCAAACGATTGCTTGTTCCAAACCTGAATAGCCCTCCTCGTCGCCAACAACTTAGTGCACAAAATCCGCAAGAGGGATCTACTCACTTCTTGACCCCAGGCACGTCTAATCACCTTCATGAGCTCAGGTTTAGTCGTCCAAACATTCAAGAATCGGAACGGCCTCGGCTTAGTATCTATCCGAGATGCAAATGAGATCTTCAATGGCGCATGATCCGAGGGATATGTCGCCAGGTGAACCACAGAGATGGCGGAGAAGAAATCCAAGCACTCCCCATTGACTAACATCCTATCCAATCTCTTCGAAACTCAAGCTCTACCTCTCCGATTATTACACCACGTGAAGTTAGGGCTCGAAAAGCCTACATCAAAAACCCCAACCTCTTCCATGAAGGACATGAACTCCATCCCCTCATCTACAACAAACGGGTGGCCTCCCCATTTTTCATGAGGTGCCAATATGACATTAAAGTCCCCTCCAATGCACCATGGTAGAGAGCTATGCTTATCAGCTAGTAAATCGCTCCAGAGTTCTCTTTGCTCCTCTACGGAGCACTTTGCATGAACAAAAGACATTGTGATTGACCCAGGCATCAACGGACATTGAACAGAAAGAGACAAATGTTGACCTGAATTACCAACAATGGAACACATGAAAGGACTACTGTAAAACACCCAAATATCCCCCGAGTGATTCACAATCACAAAATCAAACTGTAAGTATAACCGAATGGACTCAATTTTAGACACCCCTAGTTTGGGCTCACATATCACAACGTACTTAGCATGATGCACCTTGACTAATTTAACCAATCTTCTTAAATTAGGGGCTTTGGTCACCCCTCTAATATTTCAAAAAATGCCATTAATCATGAGATAATACCCGGAAGGAGTTATGGGAGGATGTCACGAACCGAATCTGTCTATCCGAGGGAAAATGAGCGCGCATACCCTTCCCTCTCGCTTGTTTGGCATCTCTCTCAACTGCCTCCAATTGGTCAATGTTCAAAGCTCTCACCGATGACTCCCCCGACCTCTCTTGACGAACAATCAAACGTACTTAGCATGATGCACCTTGACAAATTTAACCAATCTTCTCAAATTAGGGGCTTTGGTCACCTCTCTAATATTTCAAAAAATGCCATTAATCATGAGATAATACCCGGAAGGAGTTATGGGAGGATGTCGCGGACCGAATCTGTCTATCCGAGGGAAAATGAGCGCGCATACCCTTCCCTCTCGCTTGTTTGGCATCTCTCTCAACTGCCTCCAATTGGTCAATGTTCAAAGCTCTCACCGATGACTCCCCCGACCTCTCTTGACGAACAATCAACCTAAGCGATAAATTTCCTGCGACCTTTGGTAACTCAGCGTCAGCCTCCTCAAGTGCTACGTGAGCCACTTCCTCCTTCCCATTCAAATCGACAACCAAACTCCCCAATTCGCTGCTGTGCAACAAGACCAACTGCCCCTCGGCAGTCCGCCGTTCCGCGCTAGATTGAGCCAGGAGGGCCTACCGCACCTCACATTCATGCCCCTGTTGAGAAACCAGCCCTGCCGCACTCTCCCCTTGCTCCCCTGTTGGGATACTCATATGAAGAGAACTTGGCATATTTTTAAACATTAAGCTAGATTGATACAGAACTTTTTGCTATAATATTCAACCAAAACTGAATATTAGTTTCTTGCACTACATTCATAATTTGAGATAAATAATGATAGTTAGTTAGAAATTGTATGAACTACCATAAATATAATCACCAAAATATAAAATAATTAATGGTTCAGAGTATGGTTGAGCTCTTATATTTCGATAGTTAATTTGCAAGACTTTAAGGAAGCAGTTCAGAATTCAGATTTTGTGTCATCAGTTATAAAATTTTATCTCAATTGTGTAGTTTAATCTTTGTCAACTTTAGTAGCACGCAGACAATCTTTCATCATAATTTTACATCTAATCCCATGTCACTTTCAATCGTTGTAATTCCAACAGATGTTTTGTTAATGCAACCATTAGAAAAGTTTCAAAAAATCGTGGTCAACTAAGTCTAGTTAGGGAAGCCCATTTATCATCAAGACAGTTGGTGAGGAATTTTCTTGTATCATTTTTTTAAGTCAATTGACACTTATTTACAACTACTATTAAAGGGTGCAAGTTCAACTAGGCCATTGAGAATCTGGTGGGTACTAAACCACGTTCGAACTAGATAGGTGCATATGTACTCAGTAACTCTAAATCCTAAAAATGCCACATGAGTGGCAAGTATAAGAGGCAAGAATCAAACCCCTAGTCTCTCACTCACAATGCATTTAACGGCCATGATTAAAAACTTCAATAACAAACCAAAAAACTGATTCTCTAGTCTCCAACTTCTCTCTACATCTTCTCATCTTCTCAGAAAACCTTTCTTTTTGGGGATCTCATTTTATTATGTTTTTCAATAAAATCTCTTTTAAATTTTCTTAGCTTGAGTCCTTTATTTCTCCTAGGGGTCCTTAGTGAGAAATTCGGTTTCTCCTAAAAGTTTCTAGTGAGAATTTTATGCTTTTATCCTTATTTTATTGTTTGATCCGAATTTATTTTAGATCTGGAATTTTTTTTAGATCTTGGATCTGTCTCAACAGATCTCATCATCATTATTGGAGTTTGAATCCGTAGATTAGAAGATCATGCAATTGAAACTTGCACAAAAAGGAGTTATAATAATTTATCTTATTCTAAGGCAATTTAAAAATTTCTTGTATTTTTTAGATATGTTTAAAGTCATTCAAATCCACTGTATATATTGTTAAATTGCATATCTATTATTTCAAGTGCATGTTTAATCTGTCATTAAAGTAGAGATGTAAATCAAATCATGCTAGACGACTTTCAATAATTCGTTAATGAAATTTGCTTTTTATCAAAAAAAAAAATTAAAAGCATGCATCTATAATAGCAAACTATATTGCCATCTGTTATTTTTGTCCACCATAATGATAGAGTCATGTATTGTTACAAGTCTTGAGGTTCTAGCAAGCCCTTCTTCAATGCTACCGCTCCCTCAAGAGGAAATGTCATCTCTACCTCTGAAATATCGAAAGTTTGAATGTGTATGCCACAATTTTTTAGGTACTTGCACATTATTTGTAGACTTTCCCCATGCTGAATTTGCAGTTCATCTTGTATATCATTATCATATACATATTTTTTTGTATATGAATTTCGAAGATCAGATTGTACATTACTACCATACGTGTGTTTGTGTGTATATTATCTATGGCTTAAATTGAAACCAAATTTGGAATGTGAATTTAACATAAGTATAATCCTACAAAATCGAAAAATATAGATAAAGCTATAAATCAAGAAAATGTTTCTTTTGGAATTGTCACTTTAATTTTTTAAATTACCAACTAGAATTTAACATTTTCTTATATGTATCATATGATAATTTGTTTTAAAAGCAATGATAAACTGCTATTACATCAACTGAGAAATTCTTCTATTTTTATTTGACACTTTTGTAATATTTTAACTTAACATTTCATCAACGTGAAAAAGAATTCTATAGTTATGTATGAAGTTATTTCTAAAAATTAATGAACTTTAACCTCATCCTTAAGACGTTTTGTGATTTTTCTATTTCTTGTGGTAGTTAGTTTACAAAGAACATTTTTCATTCTTTTTTAGAGAAAAGCTACTTCATTTTTTATATACACTTCCATCATTGCCATACTATGCTTTATCTCTTACAAAATTTTATGGTTTTAATGGATATTGAAGAAGTTCACTAATTTGTGCTCAAAATACTTATTTTGTAGCATTTTTGTGACAATAAACTAAGAAAAAGAATTATGAAACATAATTTTGAAGTTATAATAAGTTGTACAAAGCTAATGACAGTCTTTTAAATATTAACAAAAGAAATAGCAAATTAGAGTATGACATGAAGTCACAATACGAAAGCTTGGATTCTAATTTGAAAACGTAGCAATTATCCGGGTGTTTTGAAAATTATAATATTAGGATAAAATTATCTTAACATTATTGTGACATAAATACAAGGAAATTATCTTGAAAGTAAAATAAATATGTAGATAATATATCTAACGTACACTCATTAAGGCTAATATGGTATTCAATTTCAAAAAAAAAAAAGGTCATATGAAGTTAAACAAAAAATAAAGAAAATGTATCATAAAGTTTAGTTTGCTTGTTTTTACCGCAAAAGAAAGGAACAAAAGTGGTGAACCAGTTTCCTATCTCTACCTTGCAATTGACTCGAAGATAAATTTATCAAAAGAATAGTTTGTTAATCATACAAAAATTACATGTGCATAAGAATCAATGATTCTTTGACTATATCTCTTTTTCAAATAGTTATCACAAATGCAATGGTTTTATATGGAAAAGAAATAAATGTAAAACAGATTTCCATCAATGCCTACTAAACAATTTTATGGTTCATTAATGCTTGAGTCAAATTTTCAGAAACTATCAAGGCACCGCAGCCCACCTTAGTACAGTATAAAAGCAGTTTTCCTTGCTCTATTCTTTGCTCCAAGTCATCCAAAAGAAAACAAAAACAGAAAAAAAAGAGAGAAGAAAGTATTTTCTGAGAATGGTGAAACATATCTTTTACCATTTTCTAGAAACAAAAGAGAAAGAGGAAGAAAATAGAAGAAGTGGTCTTCAACTGGGCCGTGCTCGCTACGAACTTGTGGAGAGAAACAATCGTTCTCCACAACTCTTGTACCTATTCCCATGGGAAATCAAGAAAGTAATCTCAGCCTATGAGCTAGAGCATCAAATTGGTCTGGAATTAAGTGCAAAACAAGTGAAAGAGCACCTACTCATCCACTGGGAAGATGAAACCAAAAACCGTGTGATCAATGGAGAAAGAATTCCTATCCAAATTCTTGATTTGGACACTGGAACTAAGTGCCAAATGTTCTTCAAAAAGTGGCCGACTCGTGATATGTATTTGATTCTAGGAAGTTGGTTTGAAGAATTTGTGGCTAACAGAAATTTGAGTTTTGGAATGACCATTGGACTATATTGGAATAAGAAATCCAAAACCCTTTGCATATCAGTTTTGGAAAAGTTCATTTGAATGTTGAAAGTGAAAGATCAACTAGTGTTTCTTTCACTCTTTTTTTTTTTTTTTGCTTTTTGTTCATGGTTTGGGAAGTAAGAGAGGGAGTCAAAGTGTAAATGTTATTTCTCTTTTTTCTTGTTTTCCTTTTTTGGCGGCGGAGAGTGGTGTTAAGCAAAATATTATGTTGTGATGAAATATCTATTGACTTTGTATTTGAACAAAGTTTCTATTGAAACCATCAAGGTTGTATATCTGTTTATTAGTTCTATTTCTTCTATTTATTCTAGCCAAAAAGCCAAAGACTAGCACAAATCACAGCATTCGATGTCAACATTATTATTAATTTAATCCATTAAGAATCACTAAATCCGATTTTCGTAAAAACTTTTACAAGAATTCCATTGACCTAATAAGTTCCTCTTATTTTTGATAATTGACTATGGACATATTTATAGTGAAGATATAAATTCCAATTCAAAAATTTTATAAAACAACAAAAAGAAAAAAAAGGAAGAAAATTCTAGGTGGGATAAGTAATTGATTTTCTAGTACCTAAAAGTCAATGTTGAAGTATTTCATCTTAGTTTTATTCAAAATTTAACTCTCTAATCATGATATATTAGGTTAGGGTCTTGTACTCTATTAGTTTAGACTATTATTCTAAAAACAAATTAAGTTCACTGTATTGTATATTTAGGAATTGAGTAGTAAAAACACTAAAAAATCATAGAGCAACAGTTTCAAGAAACTATCTATGTCAAATAAAAGCTTGGTGATTAATTAGCTAGTTTGTGACACCTTGTTCAATCTCATCCTCCAATATATGATTCGTAATTGCTCTCATAATCGTATTTGTTAGTTATGTGAGAAAAGTATCTTTCAAAGGGATATTCATTGTGTGGCAATGTAAATTATTCAAGAATCTTATCTATCCTCCTGAGTTTGAAGCTAACCAAATTCTTAAAGATGCAACAGAATTAATGTCTGGTTAGAGGGGGTTTCAAGATCTTACAAAAAGTTTCAAACCTTTTTGCAGCACTAAAATATTATATAGCACTCGATCATGGATATACACTAATGCATATATCGCATTTTAAATTTGTGTATCTTCGATATTGTTAAGAAAAATAAAAGGACAAAGAATTACATCTACTATTCAAAAGTACATTGGGAGAAAATATTCCTTTAAACTACTAGAAGAAAACATCAAATACTAGATTTAAAAAATGAATATAGTGCAATTTGAGAAGATATACATAAGTAAAATTAATGCTTCCATGGCAATAATTTAAAACAATCGCAATTTGACTATCATGGATATTTTTCACTTGGAACAAAAAATTAGTTTGCCTTTTTTACAAGAAAATTTGATTTTTACAAATCTAAGTATTTCTTATTATATTAAAAACGAACACTGACGTTTATATTCAAAAATTAGTATGTTGAATATGCTTATAGGTTCAAGGATTTAGATTCTAAAACAATAAACGTGTTTATCATTTATAGTTATATGGTTGAACTAATATTTTTTTTTGGACCAAAGGTTATGAGTGTTGAAATTTTTTTTTTTTTTGCAATCTTAATAATTACTATCAAGATGTACGAGTAATTACATAATTTTACTCAAACTATTACTTTTTCACAAGATATAAAATAAGTTTTGGATTTAGAAAGCACTGTTAGTGATGAGAGGAAAAGATAGAATTTTTATTTATGACTTTGACAACATTATTTTGTAAATAAGAAATTATAGTCTTTATGATTTAAGCATATATATGATAACTATAAGGACACAAGCTAGTGTTAGCATTTCAATATCGAACAATGTCGGGAAAAGATTAAAAAAACCTTTAGAAAAAGTTTTTAGATTTACATGTGACCATCTTTGAATTAAAAATTGATTTTCAAATACAATTGATTCAAGAAAAATGAAAAGAATAAAATTATTTTAAGAAAATGTTGACAACTTTAGAAATAATTTTGTATACAAAATTTGTTATATTTGGGAATCATATTTACAAGCAAATCACGTCACTTAATACTAGTGATATGGAAATATAACAATTGAGATTATAGTTGATTAGAAAGTCATGGGGATAACATTGAGATAAAACAACCTTAACAATTGTGCAATACAATATAAGGAAGCACCTATGCTTTAACTAGATAGATATGTAATTTATAGTTTTTACTCCATTTAGTGAAATAGGTATATTTATAAACACAATACAACTTAAATTAATTTGGTTGTTTTTAGAAAAGATTAGACATAAAAGCCTAAAGAAAGAAATTGTAAAAATAATATAAAAATGTCACAAAATTTAATTGTGTTTATCCCGAAGCAAAATGGTAAAATGGGATTAACCACCTATTAATCTATATTTCCATTTAACTTGAAAATCTACTCATTTAAAAATTGAAAAAATTTTATATACATTAACAGTGTATACACTATCACCGTTAGATTTATTACACATGTGCAAAAGTTGGATTTCAAATTCAAATTTTGTATAGTTGTCATTCATTCAAGACTAACAGTATATACACTATCAGTATATGAAAAATTAATCCTTAAAAATTAGTCTATTAAACACATATATATTTATTGTTCTTAACAATCAATGCTTCTTTGACTTTGATCAATATTTTTGAAATAGTTGTTAAGATAATAGGCTTATATGAAACATAAATAAAAGCAAAATAGAATTTCATTTGTGCTTACACAAAATTAATGGCTTTTTTTTTATAAGAAACAAACACAAAAATTTATTATTGAGGTTGTTGGAAATCATCCAGCACGATTTGCTTGACAAAATTTGGAGGAAAATAAATAATCCTTTTTGAATGGCTTATTTATTTTAGTCATATTATCATAATTTCTTAATAGATTTCATCACCCTAGTACAACATAAAAGTGGCATACTTGTTTCAATTTTCTCTCCATAAACAAAATTCTACCCAAAGAAAAGAAGTAGTATTTCCATCCTATATTTTCAAACGATAGTAAAAGGTGTCTATTACCATTTTCTAGAAACAAAAGAGTGAGAGAAAGAAAACAATAGACATCATAGTCTTGACCAATTCTTGACCTTTAGCATCAATAATCTTCCTTAAAATCAGCCAATACATTTTTCATAATCACCAATGCCCCACAAAAAACTAGCCAATCTCCCCTGATATATTTACATAGGCTCTTGGATAGCTAGAAGAATGACATTGTGTAAGAGGACACAACTATAAATGAAGCAACACAAATTTTCCTTTTGGGTATGTTCAACACATATGAAGACAACTTAGCAGATTTAAACATCAGGCTAGACTGATACATAATTTTTTGCTATAATATTTAACCAAAAATGAATATTAGTTTCTTGCACTACATTCATAATTTGAGATAAATAGTGATAGTTAGTTAGAAATTTTGTGAACTACAATAAACATAATCACTAAAATACAAATAATTAATGGTTCAAAATATAGTTGACCCCTTATGTTTTAATGGTTAATTTGCAATACTTTATGGAAGAAGCTCAGAATTCTAATTCTATATCATTAGTTATAAAATTTTATCTCAATTGTCTAGTTTAATCTTTGTCAACTTTTGTGGTACCCAGACAATCTTTCATCATCAATTTTACATCTAATCCCATGTCACTTTTAATCGTTGTAATTCCAGCAGTTGTTTTGTCAATGCAACCATTAGAAAAGTTTCAAAAAATCGTGGTCATCTAAGTCTAGTTACGAAAACCCATTTATCATCAGGATAGTTGGTAAGGAATTTTCTTGTATCATTTTTTTAGGTCAATCAGCACTTATTTACAACTACTATTAAAGGGTGCAGGTTCAACTAGGCCATCGAGAACCCGGAGGATACTAAACCACTTTCAAACTAGATGGGTGCATATGTACTCACTAAATCTAAATCCCAAAAAAGCCACTTGAGTGAAAAGTATAAGAGGCAAGGATCGAACCCTAGTCTGTCACTTACAATGCATCTAAGGGCCATGATTACAAACTTCAATCACAAACTGAAGCACTGATTTTCTAGCCTGTCAACCATTAAATGCGTGCATCTATAATAGTGAACTATATTGCCATTTGTTCTCTTTGTCCACCATAATGATAGAACCATGTATCATTACAAGTCTTGAACTTCTAGCAAGCCCTTCTTTAGTGCTACCACTTCTTCAAGAGAAAAAGCCACCTACACCTCTGAAGTTTGAATGTGTCTAAAGTAGTGTCTAAAGTTTGAATGTGTATGCTACAATTTTTTAAGTACTTGCACATTATTTGTAGACTTTCTCCATACTGAAGTTGCTGTTCCTCCTATATATCATTATCATATGCATATTTTTTTGGATAAGAATTTTGAAGATTAGATTGTACATTGCTATGATACATATGTTTGTTTGTATATTATCAATGACTTAAATCGAAACCAGATTTGGAATGTGAACTTAACATAAGTATAATCCCACAAAATCGAGAAATATAGATAAAGCTATAAATCAAGAAAATGTTTCTTTTGGAGTTGTCACTTTGATTTTTTTAATTATTGACTAGAATTTAACATTTTCTCATATGTAGCATATGCTAATTTGTTATGAGAGCAATGATGTACTGCTATTACATCAACTGAGGAATTGTTCTATTTTTATTTGACACTTTTGTAATATTTGAACTTAACATTTCATCAACATGAAAAAGAATTCTACTAGTTATGGATGAAGTTATTTCTAAAAATTAATGAACTGTAACCTCATCCTTAAGATGTTTTGTGGTTTCTTTTTTTTGTGGTAGTTAATTTACAAAGAACTTTTTTCCATTCTCTTCTAGAGAAAAGTTACTTCATTTTTCACATACACTTCCATCATTGTCATATCATGCTTTACCTCTTACAAAATTTTATGGTTTTAATGGACGATGATGAAAGCTCACTAACTTATACCCAAAATATTTATTTTGTTGCACTATTTTGACAATAAACCAAGAAAAAGAATTATGAAACCCAATTCCAAAGTTATAATAAATTGTACAAAACTAATAACAGTCTTTTAAATATGAACAAAAGAAATGGTAGATTGGAGTATGACATGAAGTCTCAATATGAAAGCTTGGATTCTGATTTGAAAACATGGCAATTATCTAGGTGTTTCGAAATTTATAATATTAGCATAAAATTATCTTAATATTATTGTGACATACTAATATAAGGAAATTATTGATCCTCCTGATAGATGATCATTGTAGTTTATTATGTCCATATCTTGAAAGTAAAATAAATAAGGAAATAATAGAACTAAAGTAAATGCATTACAATTGATATAGTATTCAATTTAAAAAAAAAAGAAAGTCATATAAAGTTAAACAAAAAATAAAGAAAAAAGTATCATAAAGGTTTAGTTTGCTTGTTTTTACCCCAAAACAAAGGAATAAAAATGATGAACCAGTTTTCTATCTCTATCTTGCAATTGACTCGAAGATAAATTTATCAGAAGAATAGTTTGTTAATCATACAAAAATTACACGTGTTTAAGAATCAATGATTTTTTGACTATATCTCTTTTTCAAATAGTTATCACAAATGCAATGACCTTATATGGAAAAGAAATAAATGTAAAACGGATTTCCATCAATGCCTACTGAATAATTTAATGATTCATTAATGCTTGAGTTAAATTTTTAGAAACTATCAAGGCACCGTACCCCACCTTAGTACAGCATAAAAGCAGTTTTCCTTGCTCCAAGTCATTCAAAAGAAAAAACAGAAAAAAAAGAGAGAAGAAAGTATTTTCTAAGAATGGTGAAACATATCTTTTACCATTTTCTAGAAACAAAAGAGAAAGAGGAAGAAAATAGAAGGCATGGTCTTCAACTGGGCTGTTCTCGGTGCAAACTTAAGGAGGGAAACAATCGTTCTCCACAATTCTTGCACCTATTCCCATGGAAAATCAAGAAAGCAATCTCAGCCCAAGACCTAGAGCATCAAATAGGTTTGGAATTAAGTGCAAAACAAGTGAAAGAACACCTATTCATCCACTGGAAAGATGAAGCCAAAGGTCGTGTGATTAATGGAGAAGGAATTCCTATCCAAATTCTTGATTTGAACACTGGAACTGAGTACCAAGTGTTCTTCACAAAATGGCCGAGCAGTGATCTGTATTTGATCGTAGGAAGTTGGTTTAAGGACCTTGTGGTTAACAAAAATTTGAGTTCTATAATAACCATTGGACTGTATTGGGATAAGAAATCAAAAACCCTTCGTGTATCGGTTTTGGGAAGTTCATTTGAATGTTGGAAGTGAAAGATCAACTAGTGTTTCTTTCACTCTTTTTTTCCTTTTTTGTTCTTGTGTTTGGGAAGGAAAAGAGGGAGTCAAAGTCTAAATGTTGTTTCTCTTTTTTCTTCTTTTTTTTTTTGGCGGCGAAGAGTGATGCTAAGCAAAATATTATGTTGTGATGAAATATCTATTGACTTTGTACCTGAAGAAAGTTTGTATTGAAACCATCAAGGTTCTATATCTATTTATTAGTTCTGTTTCTTCTATTTATTCTAGCCAAAAAGCAAAAACTAGCACAAATCACAGCATTTGATATCAACATTATTATTAATTTAAGCCATTAAAAATCACTAAATTTGATTTTCGTAAAAACTTTTACAAGAATTCTATTGACCTAATAAGTTCATCAAATTTTTCATGATTGACTACGTACATATTTATAATGAATATGTAAATTCCTATTCAAAAATTTTACTAAACAACAAAAAGAAAAAAATGGAAGAAGATTCTAGGCGGGATGAGTAATTGATCTTCAAGTACCTAAAAGTCAAAATTTTGACAGCAATGCAAACTTTCGGGCTAGAAAAGTATGGTGAATGCTGAAGTATTTAGCCTTAGTTTCCATTTAAAATTTAACTCTCTAATCATGATGTATTAGGTTCGGGTCTTGTCCTTTGTTGGCATTTTATACAGTTATTCTGAAAAAATTAGGTTTACTCTATTGTGTATTTCAGAATTGAGTATTGAAAATACCAATAAATCATAAAGCAATAATTTCAAGAAACTATCTATGTCAAGTAAAAGCTTAGTGATTAATTAGCTAGTTTGTGTGACCTTCTTTAATCTCATCCTACAATGGATGATTCGCAATTGCTCTCATAACCCTATTTGTTAGTTATGTGAAAAAAGTATCTTTTGAAGGGATGCTCATTGTGTGTAGGTATGTGTTAATGTAAATTATTCAAGAATCTTGTCTATCCTTTTGAGTTTGAGGCTAACGAAATTGTTAGATATGCAACATGATTAATGTCTGGTTAGATATGGTTTTAAGATCTTACAGAAAGTTTCAAACCTCTATGCAGCACTAAAATATTCCCAACTATATTGTCAATCAGTTATTACTCTGTTCGGAGTTACGTGCCAAATTATGGATTTTCTTCCTAATCTTGTTTACTTGATAAAGGGTCTTTCCTTTACTTTTGTTTGATAATTTTGAGATATAAAGAAGAAAAAGGAAAAACCCCATTTGTAAATCAAGCAACTAATTTCAAATTACCTTATAACTTTCATATGAGTTTTGAGTTTTACCATCTATGGGTCGCAAAAAATTTTACTTAAACATTGGAGAATTAACTAACAATAGCACACTATGTATTTTTTTTCCCCAAATAAATGAGGAAAATCATGGATGAGGACTTACTTATGTTTTCAAAATAAATAAGTACTTCTTCACTTTTGTCCATGAAATTCATGAGTAAGACATGTCTCTTACAACTCAACTATGGATGTACACTAATACATATATATCACATTTTATATTTGCATATCTTCAATATCATTAAGAAAAATAAAAGGACAAAGAGTTACATCACCATTCAAAAGTACATTGGGAGAAAATATTCCTCTACACTTCTACAAGAAAACATCAAATACTAGTGCTAAGTATATATTTTGCATGTTCTTAGTGTATTTTATTATTTAGTTTTGGTGTGTTTTAATCATTTTTATAGCTAATTAACTAGGTTTCAAGTGAATATGTATTTTGTGGTTTAATTGCGAAAAATTGCATTTTTGTGTTCAAATGGTGAAAATTTCATATTTTTTGTAGGTTTAATGATTCAATCATCAAATGAAGTGAATTGAGAAGATATTTGGATGATTGTTGATGATTTGTAGAGATTTAAAGTGAATATGAAGGGCTAAATGTTCAAAATGAGAAATGCAATCAAGTTTTAAAGAAGGAAAGTTTGACAACTTTGACATCTTTTGGTATTTTGACTATACCTTGAGTTACAAGTATCGAATTGAGGTGTTTTTCAAACCATTCTGAAACTAAGACATATGCTACATTTTATATCTGACATCAAAGTCCAGTTCATGAGTTTTCATGGTCAAAAACTCAAAAAACTATCAGACATTTTACTTGTCAAAGCTAAAATAAGGGATTAACCAATCAAGGGTAGTTTGGTCATTTATTAGTCTACAAAGCTCTAAATCAGATGATTCTTGATACATTGGAAAGCTAACTCAAAGGATTATGAACTTTATGTTTTGTGAAAGAGCTAATTTGAATTCCATCATCAAAAACTTTATAGTTGAATTTGGTCCAAAAACAAAGCAATATTGAAGATTGAGCAAAACAATCCAAACCTACAATCAAGATGATCTGCGAGGCGATCCGTGAGCTTCACCTCATAGATCTAGGCTCACGGATCCTGAATTTGGCTCTGCAACTTGTAGACCAAGTTGTAGACATTTCACATAGTCTTTTGACGAAATTTCTTGCAAGATTTTCAGCTGGATATGTACAAGAAAGCATAGTTTTCAAGAAACACCTTTTGGTGTTTTCAGGACACAATTTGCCAACTTGAAACATGATTGCTTGGTGCTTTAATTCTCTATAAATAGGACCTTTGTTGAGCTTGTTTGATAAATTGGGAAGGCTAGAAACTAACACAAAAATGTAGTCTTCACTAGTTTTTCTTAGATCAATAGTTTAGTAGTGTAAATTAGTGTAGCTATCCAATCTTTGTATCTAGTTAAACAAGGGAGGAGATTGAGGATGAAGATAGAGAATTAGAGCTTAAGTAGCATGGGTGGCATTTCTTCTATCACTTTATTTTTTATATTGATTCTCATGTTTAGTGACTATACAAGTTTGGTTCTTGTTCTCTTATTTTTTTTATGTCTTGCTAGCTTGTAAACCCAGGGAATTGATCAACTTCTATGATTTGTAAGTGAAGTTTTTGTGGTTATTTGAGTGTATCTCTTGAGAAAGTTAATTAACACTTTTGTTGTTAAAATCTTGATTAACTTGGATTCATTAATTGTGATTATATACAGGTGTTGTTTCATCAATAACCATTGTGACTTAACACTAGTTCATGAAAGTGTTAAACCAAGGGAGTTAACTCACTAATGTAGGGTTACACATTTGTTGCTTTAGTGGTTTGTTTCATATAATTTCATAGAATCTAATGAGTCTATAGTTAGTTTCATATCATGTTAGTAGGTGTGAATTAGTTATAGATATGATTGGTATACTTGTGAAAACATGTATCACATACATTTGGATATTATGCCATAACTAACCTAGGTAACGAACTCATTTAATCAGTAATTTTACTTGCAACAATAGTCAGTTAATCCATAACCCTAGGAACCTCTTTGTTATTGTTGTTACTACTTTTATTTCATGTTAGTAGTATAGATTTGCTTGGTTTACTTGTAATAATCTAAATAATGAAGAGGTTTGAAAACCTCCGATAGTTGACAATCCCTGTGGGATCAATCCTAATTATCTCTATACTCGTTTTACTCGTATACTTGCAGATATTATGAGTATTGAACTTTTTTTTTTTGCAATCTTAATAATAACTATCAAGATGTACGAGTCATTACATAATTTTACTCAAGCTAATACTTTTTCACAAGATATAAAATAAGTTTTGGATTTAGAAAGCACTGTTAGTGATGAGAGGAAAAGATAAAATTTTTATTTATGATTTTGACAACATTATTATGTAAATAAACAATTATAGTCTTTATAACAAAAGAATATATATGATAACTATAAGGACACAAGCTAGTGTTAGTATTTGACTATCAAATAACATTGGGAAAAGTTTAAAAAAAACCTTTAGAAAGAGTTTTAGATTTACATGTGACCATTTTTGAATTCAAAATTGATTTTCAAATACAATTGATTCAAGAAAAATGAAAAGCATAAAATTATATTAGGAAAAAGTTGACAACTTTAGAAATAATTTAGTATACAAAAATTGTTATATTTGGAATTATATTTACAAGCAAATGACGTCACTTAATAGTGAAATGGAAATATAACAATTAAGACTATAGTTGATTAGAAAGTCACAGGGAATAACATTAAGGTAAAACAATCTTAACAATTGTGCAATACAATACAAGGAAGCATCTATGCTTTAGCTCGATAGATGAGTAATTTGTAATTATTGCTCCATTTATACAATGAAATAGGTAAATTTATAGATACAAAACAACTTAAATTAACTTGGTTTGCTTTTAAAAAAGGTTAGACATAAAAACCTAAAGAAAGAAATTGAAAAATAAATAATATAAAAGTGTCATTTACTTGTGTTTATCCTAAAGTATAGCAGTAAAAGTGATTAACTGCCTGTTATTCTATCTTCCTATTTAACTTGAAGATCTACTCATTTAAAAATTAGTCTGTGAAATATACATAAACTTCTTGTCCTTAACGATTAATGCTTCTTTAATTTTGATCAATGTTTTTGAAATAGTTGTTAAGGTAATAAGCTTATATGGAAAAGAAATAAAAGGAAAATAGAATTTTATTTGTGCCTACACAAAATTAATGGCTTATTTATTTTAGTCATATTATTACAATCTCTTAATAGATTTCATCACCCTAGTACAACATAAAAATGGCATACTTGTTTCGATTTTCTCTCCATAAACAAAAGTCAACCCAAAGAAAAAAAAAGTATCTATTTTCCAGACGATGGGAAAATGTTTCTTTTTTTTAATTAATTTTTTTTATTCCCTTAAGAAGAGAGACAGAACCGGAGAGGGACATAGACCTTACCTCTCAGGAGCACAATGCACTTATTAAGTTACGTGGATGGAAAGGGGAGTACTACTCCCAGACAACAAGTTACCCTAGCATTTTCTAAGGGAAGAAAGACCAATTCTGTCTAGTCTAAATGCCCCTCGGACTTGAGTAGGGCGATCCGAAAACTGCTGATAGGTTTTGTCACAGCCTTTGTCACAGCCAATATTAGATAAGCAATCAGCTATTTGAT